TGAAAACAATTTGAAATCCAAAGTTGTTGCACTAACAGCTGATAATACAAACACAAATTTTGGTGGGCGAAGAGGCAAAGGGGGAATAATATGTATGTAAAATTACAAGATTTACTCCAAAAGAAAATACTAGGAATAGGTTGTAATGCACATATTTTGTCAAATGCAATCAACATGGTGTCATGTGCCATGCCAATTGATGTAAAAGTAATAATAACTACAATTAGAAATTAGAAGACTGAATGTATTTTTAAATTCTGAAAAATTAATACAATGGGAAAATAAACACGTTGAAATTGATAAAAGATGGGTGGAAATATTCAGCCATTTCAAAAAACGAACATATTCCATGTGAAAATTTATTTATTCTTGTTCAATTTACGTTGTGCTGCCCTGGAACTAATGCTGCAGTTGAAAGGGTTTTTTCAATTGCTAATGATTTTTGGAAAAGTGAGAAATCGAGATTGAATGTTGATACTCTAGCTGCAGCACTTGCCGTAAAATTCAATATGAAGGATATTTCTTGTTCCGATATTTCCAATATGTTGTTAGAAGATGATACATTGACAAAAATATCATTCAGTGGAAAAGTACTCATTTAAATAATAATTAATAGGCATGTAAGCATAATTACAATATAAAATGTTATTGTTACAAATGTTTTTTATTATGCATTTATCATATTATAGTGTATTCTGTATTATTGTTGCCATGAATAAAATGTTTCTTTTATTTACGATATTTTTTTTCTCCAATTTATTTGTGTCCTCCTTCTCATTGTAAAAAAGTTGGTCACCTTAGGTACAGGGCCTAAAGAACTGTGGATCATGCTTTAAAGGCAGCCCATGTAGAGTGCATTGCAATAGTCTAAGTAAGTGGTGATGAGGGCATGAGTCACTGTAGCAGATCCTCCCACCAGGTAGGGCTGCAACTGGCACACTAGCTAAAACTGGGCAAAGAACATTTTGAAGGACCCTGATTCAAGCTGAGGTACCATTGCACCAGTAAGGAAACCCAATAGACAAACAATAACTCTGTCCTGCTACAGTTTTAATTTTTTTCTCACCTAGGCCCTTACTGACTCCAGGCATCAGAACAAAACTTCACTGGTATCACCTGTCTGACCTTCAAGGCCTCTAGTAGCTTTTCCTTTTCAATGAAGCATTAACAAGCACTGGTACAGGAAACCACTCCTCCCCCTACCGTACAAAGGTGCCTGGAGGGCAGAGAACATCCTAAAGAGCAACTTATCACCATATTGGAGTTCACAAGCCAAAAGGAACTCTAGATAACTAATAAAGACAATACCATAGCCATCGGCTATGACCCTTCCCACATGGTATCATGATATGAGTCAATATGGACAACTTTGTCAGGAAAACTATTGTGCAAATGGACAGCCTCTGTGTGAGATTCTTGATGTTTGTTCTGTCCTGACAGAGACTTGACCACCAGAAACCCTCCTGCTAAAGGAATAAGAGAAGAAATGGCATTGTGTATCTCTTAATACTAAGAAATAGGCTTGAATGTGGGCATGTACTTGGGTTCTGTCAGATTAAATTTGTCAAAAAAAAACCCAAACAGTTTTGCTTATTTTGACTGGTCAAATTGAGGAGATGTAGAGAGAATTGGAATATATATCAGAGGAGGGAGATCTCTGCTGATCAGGGGCCTCGAACCCTTTGTCCATGGACAGGGACTGGTCCATGGCCTGTTGGGTACTGGGCTGTGCAAGGGGTGGGTGAATGCATGAAACTCCATTTGCACAAGCGGCAGGTGGGCATGTGAAACCAGCCCCTCTCCCCGCTGCTGCCACCACTACTGCCAGTCCATGGAGCCAGAAAGGTTGGGGACCGCTGCTCTAGATCACCATTATATCTTTCAAGTACATTTGCCTTTACTATACTAAGAGCTTATCTTGTTTGTTTCCATAGATTGACCATTAGTGCATATAGACAATTAAGGCCATAAAATGAGCATATATTCTATTGTTCAATGAATGGTTTAAGAGTCCCCATTTCAGCAGCTTTCCTTTCTGACATCTTTACTTCAAACCGGGTTTTCATTTCTGCCAGCCAAGAATTCAGTTTAGAACTCCCCAAAGCAAACTCATTACATTTTGGCCAAATATATTTTATTAATCCTTGTGAGATGCAACCCATCTGATGCTGTCCATCCGTCATCTAATGTCATCCCTATAATTTAGACAAACTAAAAAAATCATACCATGCATACCTAAAGTTACTTTTATTTGAACAACTATTGAAATACAGTCTTGAAAATCTGAATACATTTCTTTTCTTCCCTCCTTCATCTTCATGAGAACTTGGGGCGGGGGTGTCTGAAGCATTTTCACAAAATACTTTCTTGGCTTGAGCTGGAGTTTCATTTATCTGATTGTTGCCTGGGTAGAGAATTTCCCCCTATCCTTCAAGGCCATCCTCTTTATTCACATCTAAATTATTCAGAAAGTAAACTCTTAAACCAGACATGTCCAAAGTCCGGCCCACGGGCCATTTGCGGCCCGCATTCCGGTTTAATACGGCCCTCTAACAGCCCTCCCTGCTTTATGTAAATGCGGCCCTCCCACGGCCCTCCGGCAAGTCCCATGAGAGAGAGAGAGAGAGAGACAGAGACAGAGACAGAGGCACTTGCACTTGCACTTCTGTCTCTCTCTCTCTCTCTCTCATGGGACTTGCCCCCTCGCAGGGCTCCTCATTGGCCCTGCGCCCGGGTGCCCTGCCCCCTGGGAGAAGGGCAGCCAGGAAGTCCCTTTCCCAGGCTGTCCCCGTCCCAGGCGCACGTGGCTGGGGAGCCATGCGGGGAAGCCCCGGGATCCCCGCTGGGAGCAACCCCCCCGGAGCCTTTGCTGAGTGGGCCAGCCCTCCCGTAAGCCACAGCCCCGAGAGAGAGCAGCCCCTGTGATGTCCAGCCGGCGCAACCGTTGGCCAAGCAGCAGCAGAGCCAGAGATGGAAGGTCAGTGGCAGGGGGGGAGGGAGGGAGCTCTGAGTCCACAGAACACCGCCGCGAAGCAGCCACGGGGCGGGTGGCACCCCCCCAGCTTTCCTGTACCAGGCAGCAGTCCTGGCTGGGGCATTGCTTCCTGGCCTGTCCCCAGGCCGCTCCCTGCGCAGCCGAGCCGGCCACGTGTCTCCCCGGGCTGGGCCGCGCGACAGTCCTTGCTGGGGCGGCGGCCGGCGGGGGCATCGCTCCCTGGGCCGTCCCCAGGCAACTCCCTGCCTGGGCAGCCGAGCCGGCCACGCGTCTCCCCGAGCCAGTCCGTGGTGCCCTGGGCGCCTTCTGCTGCCTCCTGCCCCCCCCACATGCTTGGCCATCCCAGGACCTCCGCCCATTTTCCCACGCCCGGAGCAGGAGAGGAAGCGCTGCTTTCTGGGCATCGAAAGAGGCTTACCCCTCCCAGCCGCCCATCCACTGGGGCGACGGCGCTCCTCTGAACCGGGGCTGTGCGAATCGCAGCCTGCAGGATTTGGCCCTGGAAAGGCTGGACTGGCCAGCCGGCCGGGGAGGCCAAGCAGCCCCAGCGAGGGAGCTGCTCCCGCCCTGTGGCCGGCTAGGAATCCCATCCGGCTTGGCAGGAAGCTTGGGGGCCGCCTGAGTGCCGCAGGGGTGTCCACCTCAGCCACTTCTGGCAGGCCCACTAATTGTGGGCTCCCTGCCAGCTTCCTCCATGAGCCAGGCGTCCAGGACTCCATGGAGCCACCCCTAATTGCGCCCCGCGAGGGCTCGACTGAGCCCCGGCCTGATCTCCAAAACGCAGCTTGCCTGAATTCTTTCTGCCTCCTGGGGGAAGTTGCACTTCGTGGCCCAATTATTGTGGGCGTCCTTGTTGTGCATCTAATCATGCCTTTGAAACACAGGCCAGGAGAAATCTCATCCATCCCGCCGAACTGAGTTGGGACCGAGGGAAAAGAGGAGAAAAAAGGAAAGCAGGCAGCGCTTTGCTAGAATGGAGGGGTCGGAGGCTTTGGAGCAGGAGTGTCGACGGGGGAAGAGAGAGGCTCTGCTTTTCAGGGGCGCTGCCTTGCAAGCAGCCCAAATCTCGGCCCCGCGTTCGGCCGCCCCATGTGCAAAGGCTGCCGCTGTGGCTGCGTTCACACCTGCGGTGCTTGGCTAGTTTTCTGTCGCGGCGCGAACTCAGCCGCATTGGCCTCCTGGATGCCAGCACCGGGAAGCTGGGCTCGATTCCCCTGGAGCTGTTGCGGGGCGCAGCCAAGAGTGAGCCTTGCAGCCGCCTCGCTTGTCCCAGCCCGCCAGCAGCACCTCCGCGAAGCCTTCGCCGCAAAGCCATCTCCCCCTTTGCCCCCCCAGATCCCCCAAGCAGCATCCAACCAAACAGCTAACAGAAGCACATGAGGCAGCCTCGTCACTCAATATATAGGTTTCTTTTAATACAAAAAGTGTCTATTAAAAATTCCTTCCAAAATACACAAAAAGACCAATTGGGCTGCGGGAGAGGGAGCAGTAAAAGAAAAAAAAAGAGTGCTGGGGGGAATCAAGCAAGCAGCAGCGGCTTAGATGGTGCCAATCCAGAGGATTGGAGTACGCTTCAAAGGTTTTGTCCTTTTCCTCCCTTATCTCTCGTCCTGTTTTCCACCCGCCTCCCCCCCCCTCGCCCCTCAACGTGCGTACGGATGCGTTAATTGAACCGTATTTTATTAAGTAAACGTAAATTAACATTACCAAGTTTCTTACAAGCCTTTTAACAAGCCGGGAGGTCGTGCAAGTGAAGTAAGTTAGACCGGGTCTTTGAAAAAAGTTTGGACACCCCTGTCTTAAACCATCAATACCACCAATGTAGCCTATCACTAATTTACAAAATAGCAAACTCTTGGTTTAAAGACCAGTAGGATGCAAGGGGAATCCATAAGAACAGAATATTAACTGAAAAATAGGATTTCTAAAATTTATTTATTTATATCCTGCATCTTCTGTTTTTATAAACAACTCAAAGTGGTGAACATTTGATATTTGTATAAAATATACATTAAATGTACCCAAAATTATGAAGACTCTACGTACAGTAAAATTTATATTTTCAAGACTAAATCATCAAATATAGACTTTTTTTCTAGTAGTTGGAGTGAAATCCATTATTGCCTGAAATTCGATTTTTTTTCTGAAATTCAGAATTCCATTACATTCTAATTCCACTGAATTAGAGTTTAGAGAACTATAGAGGGCCCCAGACAAAGGACAATGGTGTAAAAGTAGATATTTCATAAGTAAGACATTAGTTATTAGAAAAAACACAAGCTGTAGAGATATTAATGAAACAGAGGTGTAGGGTGTAAAACATGAAACAAATGTGGAAATACTTTGTATTCAATTATGTTCCAATTTTTAACAAGCCATTATTGATACATTGGAAGTAATGTAATCTACAAAGGATATTCAACATAGATATTGATAATTTGGAATTTCAGGTTGAAATATGCCACTCAAAACAAGTTCATTTGCAGGAGAAGAAGCCGTTTTCAGGCTGCTACAAATTCAAATTAGAGGTAAGTTAAGACAATAGTGAGAAGTCCAAAACAGATGAGTGCTTTAATGAAGAAAGAAGGAACCAGAGTTACTTTAGAGTTGGTAGAGGACTGCAGAGGCCGTGTCTTTGTAGCCTTGATAATCCTTTCTCTCTGGGTCAAGATGGTATTTCTGGCTCCCTCCCACTTCCCAGGACCGGTCAGACGGAACTGAGCAGCTGAACAAGGCCCAAAATATACTTCCCAGGCCAGCTTTGGATCGGTCAGAAGAAGACTCAGCAGCTTGGGCTTCACTCCTAATAGGGAAGCCAGTTCATCCATGTAATCAATATAGTGCACTATTAAGAAATTGTTGTGGCTTGCTGCATGCCTAAGAGCAAAAGGTAAATCATAGAATCATAAAATCATAGAATTATAGGGCTAGAAGAGCTCTTGGAAGTCTTCTAGTCCAACCCAATTCCTGCCTGAGATCCTGCTTCCTCTTCCTTTCCCCTCTACCAATTCACATCCAGATATTTAGAATTCTAGTTGAGCTGAGGTGGTGAGTGGTTTGTTGTTCTACACATCAATTAACATGTTGAAGTCTTTGTTTTATATATGTTTCATCTTCCTTCTACTGTATGTAGTGTTAATGTTAATATTGTAAAATATCAAAGAGTTGTGATAGTAATACTAATACTTTATTGTCTATATTTTATAGTCTAGAAGTAGATCATTTATGAATTGTAAACTTCAGTTTTGTTCTCTAATGCTGGACTATGGCTGAAATAAAGAATTTACAATAGAACTTGAACACTTTTAATTTTAGGACATGTGACTCCTGCTTACTAATCTAATCTAATTACAGTCGCCTTTGGTGAGATGGATAGCTATATAAATTATATTAATAAATAAAATAAAAATCTAATCTAACCTAATCCAATCTATATCCCATCCCTTTCTGCAAGCAGTATAAAATTTATAAAATATAAATATAAACTTATAAAATAAGTTTAACATGTAGCTTTACTAAGTTTGTATCCTATGGGTGAATTTATGATTGAAATTCTATAATGTATTCACACAAGCATTTTATATACAAGGCCAGAATATTTTCAGTTCCAACATTCTAGAGAAATAAGCACATTATATGTCATAATTGATTTCCTACCGTTTTTCATTATACTGGATCTTTTTAGCAATATCAGCCATCATGTCATTATTTGAAGGTAACTTGTTTAGGCCTGAAAAATAATATCAGTTTAATCTTCTGGTGTCCCCTGTAGCATGAGAAATGCAGAACAATTTGCAGACAGGCAATGCAGAAATACAGAACATACCGTATTGTGGACTGAATAGAGAAACTGAAGTAGACTGTCACTGTGTTCATTACATGTACAGATATGTTGGAAATGAAAGTATTTCAATAAAGGGAAAAATGTTGTGGTTCTATAGCAAAACATTAGGAGAATTTTCTGAAGAAGGAATGTGGCTAATCCTGATTCCCAGACAGAAACCAAAATAGTAGGATGATGGATAAACACTAACATTGGATTGTATTCAATGTTCTGTGGCCGTAGATGTTTGCAGATCAAATCTGATAGCCTTACCCACTACTAAGACAGCAATCCAATGCAGGCTTTCTGGGATATTCTGCCACTTAGAACAATGATGGCTTACTTCTGTGTAGGTATGCCGCAACGCATTCAGACATATTCCTTGGTAATTTAGAACCACTGCACTTAGCCTCCTAGCTCGGAAACACCAGTTTTGTTTGAAAGATGAACTAGCTCAGTACTGGCTAATTAGCATGAAATAGATTTTCTGTATATCTCAGCTTTCTGTTGAACAGAACTGGTTCAACACAATTGTTAGTTTTACTACTTCAGTATAAACTATGCCTGAGATTATCATGGGCATAATCTGCACTAAAGCACTCCCGTTTAGCTCCCATCCATTTAAATCAGATGTCAATATACTTCCTTATGGCTTGCAATCACATTCATTAATTTTATACTTTCTTACTCAAATATGAAAGTGTTCTGGCTGCAAAAAGTGAACTTATGTTTCTGTTTTGACAATAAATACCTCACACACAATACTATAATCTGAGAGTTTAATCCCTTTGATTCAAGAGAATTAAACAAAGCCAGTTATGCCAAGTCAGACCTTTGGTTAATCATGTCTAGTCTATCTGCCTACTGGCAACTTTACAAGATCTCAGCCAGAAGTATTTTGCAGACCAACTACACAATAGTTGTTGTTTTTTTACTTAATGCCAGGTGTGATTGGTCCTAGGTTACTGATTCTTATAAAATGATTCCCAAGTAACAAAATGAAATGTTATTATGAAAAATTCTCCCTTTGAAAAATGAACTATGCCTTTCTGTAGTACATAGAAGACATAGAACTAGGGAGAAATTTCCTTACAGTAAGAACAATCAACCAGTGGAACAGCTTGCATCCAGAAGTTGTGGGTGCTCCAACACTGGAGGCTTTTAAGAAGAACCATTTGTCTAAAATGGTATATGTTGTGTCCTGAGCCTGCAAGAGCTGACAGCAGGCTCAGAAGTGTTGCAAATGGTCCCGGGCAATCCCAAAAGCTGCCCGGGACTAGACAGAGTGGCGCCAGCCTTGCGCGCATGCGCAAGGCGCGAAAAGGGTAAATTCCTATTGGTTCACACTGTCCAGGTTTCAGGCACTATAAAAGGCCTGTGTGCCTTTTGCTGTTCGCTTGGTTGTAGGAGTGTGTAATAAAGAGTTTGTTGCTTTCACCATGCGTCTGCGTCAATTGCTAGCGAACCGAAAACACAAAAGTATAGGTCTCCTGCTTGAGCAGGGGGTTGGATTAGAAGATCCCAAGGTCTCTTCCAACTCTGTTATTCTGTTATATGATCTAACATGAAAGCATTATAGGGATTTTTTTTTCAGAACATGGAAAAACTTTCTATTAAAACAAGTCTTTGTCTTGAATTTCTATGGATATTTACTAACCTTTCCAATGGAGCCAGAATAATAACAAGTTCTGCCATCATAATCCTATGGAATTTATTATTATGGCTGGTTGCACAATCAGCCAGATATTTTTGTGCACCTATCAAGCTTTCCCAAGTACCTGGGACAGGCAAATGTTGTTGTTTAATAATATTAAAGACATCGTCACAGAATATAAGCTATTCTAAGCCTTTTGCAATTGATTAATGATGATTTTGTCAATACCAATTGTGTTTAAGTGGTACTCCAAATGTTATGGCATTACACGCAAGGCACCTATTACTATTGGTACTATCTTTGCTTTCTTTTGTCATAGTTATTCTACTTCTATTTTCAGGTCTTCATATTTGTGAATTTCTCCAGTTCTTTCTCTTCTTTTCTGCTATCTCCAGGTACTGCAAAAAGTACTATCCAGACTGTTTTGTCTTTCTTACCAACAATTGCAAAGTCTGGGGGGTTATATGGCAGTACTTGTCTGCTTGAATTGTAAAGTCCCACAGCACTTTAACTTCTTCATTTTCTATTATTTTGTCTATTTTATGGCCCACCAGTTCTTGCTTACATGCAAATGATATTTTTTGCAGGTCTTCCAATGTACCATTGTTACTATATTGTCATGCCATTTTTTGTGGTCAATCTGTGTGATCTTCTTGCAGCATCTAACCAAGTGGCCCACTATTTCTTCAGCTTCTTTACTGAGGCAGCATTTGTTGTTGCCTCTTCCCAATTCTGTCTTTGTATGGATTTGTTCGTAAGGTTTGATCTTGTGCAGCCAGAATTAGCCTCTCTTAGCCAGTGGCAGATCATATTGTCATCATCTTTGCCTGCTATTTTTGTTTAATGTACTAGCCATGTAATACTTTACCTTGCCATGTCTCTTTTCTAGTCCTCATTTGGCTTTTCTGGTAGTCCACTTTGGGATAATTCCAAGAAATTTCCTTGTTAGTCTCTTTGCTATATGCATATATTATGTTATACCAGGGGTGGGGAACTGTGGCCCTTTTATAACTTGTGGACTTCATCTCCCAGAATTCCTGAGCCAGCATGGAATCTCCCAGAATTCCTGAGCCAGTCATAAAAAGGCCATAGTTCCCTACCTCAGTGTTACACGAACAATATAGTTGGTCATATGCAAACATTTAGTAGAGATGAAGACTACCTTCATGAATACACAAAGATATATTACATAGCTTTGTTGTTCTTATACAAAAGAGGGAGTTGATTATATTCATCAGCATGGCAACCTTCAAATCAAGCAAAACGTCAACACTTTTTTTTATTTTTTAGATTCTCTCTTACCCTTGAAGATTCTTGTGGCCCAGCGAACTTGGAGCTCAGATATAGGCATAGTGGCTCCTACAGGTTTGATGAGGCCAATCACAGCTAATGTGTGCTTTTCCAAGTGTGGTGGGAAGACATATTTATATAGTGAGAATTTATTTGTTTGAGTCCTGAGGATAATATCCTGAGTGAAGGGAAAGGAGAAGTTGTATCCTGTAGCAAAAATTACCACATCAATATTTTCTTCTGTGCTGCCATCTTCAAAGATCACACCTCTTTCAGTGAACTTCTTCACATGTGGTTTCATTACCACCCTGCCAGCAATTATAGCATTTGGTAGATCATCTCCCATAATTGGGGTCTTACTTAGGAACCTGCAAAATGAAGAAAAAACACACTGGCCATATTTTACTACAGAACATGTGTTTATTAACCTTTAATGATCATTTGAAAAAAAATGGGGGATAAGCAAACTACAGTAAATGATCATCATAGATGTTTTTTAACCAGACCAAGAAAGCACAGCCTTGGTAAAAGAAAAGCTCATTTATGTCAGAAGTGTAATTCAGTGTACAGTGATGTATTCTCTTTACCAGGGGTCTTCAAACTTGGCCCTTTTATGACTTGTGGACTTCAACTCCCAGAATTCCTCAGCCAGGCACACTGGCTGAGGAATTCTGGGAGTTGAAGTCCACAAGTCATAAAAGGGCCAAGTTTGAAGACCCCTGCTCTTTACCCATGTATTTATATCAAGTTACACAGTGGTGGGATTCAGCCAGTTCGCACTACTTCAGCAGAACCAGTAGCTAATTTTTTGTTGCCCAGGCCCAGAATGGACTTCCGGAAGCAGCATCCACACATATCTGAATCCCACCACTGAGTATACAGTATATTTTTTACTGGCTTTGCATTTTAATAACAGTTTTGTCTGATTGTTTTCTTTTTTATATTCTTGTTCACGTCTTTTTTGTATGTAATGCCACATTTTTGGAATATATTTTACTGCAAAATAATTAAATGGCAGGTACAAAAATGGCAGAAAATGGAACTTCAGTCTAGAGATTCTGGAAGTGCATTTTTCTCAGGGCACCTTTGGACAATATCACCTTTATTTTCATAGCCACCATAGCTAGAATCAGAAGAGGTGAAAATGTCAGAGTAGTTTCTATGCAGGCTTTCAGCTTTTTTGTAAAAAGTATATAAAGTAAAAAAAATAATTATAAATGAAGAAAAGTCACAAGATACAGAAGTAGGTACAGAAACCAGAATGTCAGGTTTCAGTTTTTTAAAATGTTTCTAATTTTTGAGGCTCTAACTAAATATTTAAATATATGTAGGAAAGAGGACATTGCATATGCTACAGGGGCTGCAGGATATTTCCAAGATTCAGAGTTGAGACTAGTACTTTCTCCATTTTTATGTTGCTCCTAAAATGGGGTTAATATTCACTTTAATGTTAAATTTAAATTTACTGACAAAGAATTAAAGGGAGACTAGTATAGCTATTTCGAGCTATTTAGCTCTCATCAGCTCTCTTTAATTCTTTGTTGGTAAATTTAAATTTAACACACAAATAGTCTATCGCAGAAGTGACTGCCTGTGAAGGCTCCTAGATTGGAGCTGAAAGGTGAAAGCAGAAGCAGTATGCTCTGTCCCATATTTGGGGTAGACTAGGTAGACCAGGTTGCCCTTCTAGACCGGTCTCACTGGAAAACACTTATTCACTTTAATATGTATATTTCATGTCTTCCTAAGTGTCAGAGTATGGAGAAATTTCACCCTTACCTGTGCTGGGGTTTTACACCATAGTTCTCATGGTTAAATTTCATATTCAGTTTCTTCTCTCCCCATTGGTTTATCAGCACCGCAGGAAGTTTATGGAAAAGGAGATTTTTGAAACGTGTAAAATGCACTACATCAAAAGGATATCCATCATCAGAGACTCGATTCACCACCCAAGCACCAGTTCTAGTACTCAGAAAGACCTGGGGGAGGAGAAAGAGAAATCAGCACTAACTCTTTCCCCAGCCTTATAATGTAATGCAAAAAGTAAACTTTTATGTCATAACATAAACCTAGCAAACAAAATGGAGTCTGAACCCCTTTCCTGCATCTTTTGGATATGGCCAAGTTCATAACCAGTTCTTCTCTCTGCCTAATCCCATCAGAACCAAAACGACCCTCCCTATCTCTGACAAAGGCCCCTGCAATCCCATCTAGACCAAAGAATAGTAGCCTCCTCCCATGCTCACAACACGTTCCAAGGGCAAACCCTTTTCAAGGAACTTGCAACCTAGAGAAACCCCAAATTTCTATCTCCTTCACAATTAACTTCCTCGAGCTTTGCTGCCCTTTTGAAAGGCCCATTCTGCCTAACAATAAAAGTAATCCCAAGTACACCAACAAAGTCTAGCTTCCCCAAACTAGCCAGCAAATCAGATCCCTGAGATTTCTTGCAGTCCTCAATCTCTGTAAAAATCTTTGCTTTTCAGGGTTCAGGGTTCCTCTTTCTTTTAAAGTAGGTACACTAATGATCATTGCAATGAACGTGGTTCTTCTCTTCAGTGTTGTACTCCTTACTTTGGCAAAAATGAAAACAAAAACCCACAACAGCCCATTCCTCCTTTCATTGAGTCACAAGGGACAGTGAGTTCCAATATATTTTTCCTGAGAGTGGAAAGTACATGTGGAAAGTACAGCAAAAAAAGAGATGGAGAAGAATAACTAGTTCCTTCTCTTGTTTTCAACCTTTGATGTTCCTCTTCTACCTGGTTTCCAAGCCACAAGGACTATCTTTCAGTAAGGAAAGCATATTTAATGAAAAGTATTGCAAAGCCCTCCAGTCTTACTGACAAAAGGTCAACTGTTCATAGATATTACTAATAATTTAATTATTTAATGAATAATTTAATAATGCACTCACATGTATTACTAATTGATAGAGTTAGTCTCTGAAATGCTATCCCCCCCCAATAGTATTTGAGCTCAAAACTTGACAAAATTACCTGCTATTATCATCAGATTCAAAACAAAACTTGTTTAAATACACTATACCTGCTTTGTGATATGGCTGAGGTCAATAGCAATCTCTACTCCAGAATTTCCCAAGCCTACGATGAGGATTCGTTGGTCTTGGTATTTTTCAGAATTCTTATATGCCCAGCTGTGAATAATTTTCCCCTTAAATTTCTCAAAACCTGAAAAAAAAAGAGCCTTTTTTGCAATGCTGAGCAAAGCATATCTTTGTTGGAAGACTGAAAAAAGTATCAGTATAGATGCTGGATTTAAGATGAATTGTCATGGTTAGATTATTAAATTACTATTAATGTCACATTACTGTCTGAGAAGTCCCATTCTCAATACCTGTTCATACAATTGTCAGAAATGACCCAAAATATTGGACAGAATTATGATGACTCTTGCAGCATTTAAATAATAACCAGGGATTAGTGATAGTTAGCTGCAGTTTCAAGGTTGGGATGAGAAATAACAGTAAAGCCCAACTCTTTGCATTCTTATTATTAGTATACAATGTTAGTAAGAGCACTCTATCTAGGTTGTAGTAATCTGGATTCAGAAACCCTAAATAATATATACTAAATATAATCTCTCTCTCTCTCCCTTTCTCTCATGGCCCTAGACCTGCTGCCAAAAATTAGCACTCTAACTGAAACACCTTACTAAATATCACAAAGACTGAACTGGCTTACAAGAAAGCCAATGTTGCTGTGTGGATGAAAGGCCCTAACCTCTATAGAAAAAATGTATTTTTTTTTTTTAAAAAATGATATGGGCTCAAGATTAATTAGACATATTGATAAGAAAACAAGAAAGCTAATGACCATGAATTATGCTTTTCACTCAAGAAGTGATATTGGCAGGCTCGTAAAGGTAAGAGGGAATTACTCTAGGTAAAGCAAACAAGGGAAGAAGAAAAATACAGTTTAAGTGATTATACTGTATCAAGCACAATTAGAAACCACTACTGGTAGAGGTTTGTAGGGGAAAAAACACTACTGAAGATTACAAAATAAAAAAAAAAAAGATTTCCAAAAGGAAGCACCCAAAGCCAAATTAATGCCTGGAAATCTAAACCTTGTCATGCCATATATGTATGTATGTATGTATGTATGTATGTATGTATGTATGTATACACTGAATAAAAATCAGAAAAACCAAATCAGGAAAACAAAACAAAACTCTGTGAATATGTCTAGGAAGTCACCAGGTGTTGAACTCAATTTAAAAGAGAACTGAGTTTACTCCCAATGAATAATGGAATGAAAAATATTATTGTTTTGCAAGTTCTGCTTGAATCAGCATTCTCAATTAGCTTATAAGAAAATCACAATTGCCTACCTAGAAATGAATCCAGAGGAAAATAAGGTTGTACATAGAGGCCTGTGCAAATTAGAACAGCATCAAAGACAGCCGATTCCTGCTTCCCATTCATTTCTGTTACAATTACCCACTGTCCAGTGATGGGGAAATCTTTGTGTTTCCTTAAATGGCAGACTTGAGCCTAAAGATAAAATATACTTCTTTTTAGATTAAGTTTCATGATTTATTTATTTTTTAAAAAACACCCACAATGATAAGAGAAGCACTTGAAGTAAAGATGAGATAGAGAACAAGGCTGGTTCAGCATATCTAGAAATATACTTGCTTAATTCTCACTGTTGATATTCCTCTTTGGACTTCATCAGTTCCAGAATAGAAAATATTTTTATGCACATAATCAAATGGAGCATAGAACCAGGTGTCCCTTAGGAATCAAGTATATGAATGTTTGGGGTGATCTAATAAACAAAAAACTGAAGGTCTCTCATATCTGCTACAAGGTCTCTCGGTGACTCCTGAATGATCTGTAACTTTTAGCCTGCACATATTTATAGTGATTCAATGGTTCTTAAACTGGGGATTAATTACCCCAGGGGTTTAATATGAGCATACCCTGGGGATAATGAAACAGTTTGTAAAAGCTTGTTTGTGATCTAGTCTGAGATGCTTATATAAAACAACAAAGACTGAGTTAGTTTTGCTTTTTAACAAATGACGTTATTCAGACCAGGAAAAGGGTAATTTGGTCAAACAGTTTAAGAACCCCTTCTTTAGAAGCACTATGATGATGGTTTGAACTGTTACTTACTTGTTAATTATTAATTATAAACAATTACAAATGACTTCATGTAATAAGTTTACAGTTAATAGAAAACTCTAGATACAGATGATTGTAGGTTCAGTCTTTTTTTTTTTTTTGAAAATACCAAAATCTGGGTTAGGATGAGACAGAATTATCCAAGATTCTGGATAGCAGGAGCTTGTTCAGATAGAAACCATTACCTGACATGTTCCCAAGTTCTCAGAAAGTTAAGAAAAGTTTTTTTTACTATATTCCTATCTTTCTTTTTCTTTCTTCCTTTTTTCTTTTTTCTTTTTTCTTCTTTTCTGAAATTTCTGTTCTTTCTTTTTACTTTTGTAACTTTTTATTGTTGTAATTATAATCTTTAATAAAATTTCTAGTAAAAAGGCAAAGTTCTAAGAGAGTTATAGGCAGCAACTTAATGAAGAATGCTGTTTTATTGTCTTGTGGGGAAGGGTAATTGGGTTAATGCTCATAAAAACCAATTCTTAGAAATGATATTTTTCTTGAGTTTTATCTTCTGAACTTTCACCATTATACTTTGCTAAGACCATTTTATATGACATAGCTGTTTGAAGGACTCTTATAGGACTCTTTATAGTTATCACTGCATTTTGCATCCTGCAACTACATTTACTGCCAAGATGTCCACTCATTCTCCCAGCAAAATCTTGATTCTCAGTTTCTTACCTTGAAATGTATGTACTTAAGCAAATCAAACTGCTTTGCATACATCCAAAAGTACTCCATCATTTTACTATGATGCATGTAGTTTGAGTATTCCTCAGGAGTAGGAAAATCACTAAAACTCATCAACTCCTTTGAACTATTCGTAGTCAATGATTTGTAAATGCTGCTGTGACCTTCAGTGACATGTTCCTGCAAGAAATTTGTCATATTAATAAGATGGGTTTTACAGACAAGATTTTCTGGATATTTATCTTGAAGGCAGATTAATATGGCCATGGCCTAAATCAGTGGTAGTGAACCTATGGCACGCGTGCCAGTGGCGGCACTCAGAGCCTTCTCTGTGGGCACACGTGCAATTGCCCCAGCCCCACCTCCCCCCACGGCCCCCTCCTCACCAGCAGCCCCCCTTGAGGAGAATCGCCCCTGAGCACGGCCCCATGAAGCAGCATAGCCATCGTCATGGCAGCCAGGCAGCGGGGACAAGGCTCCTCATGCCCCGTTGCGCGTAATTGATGCTGCGGGGCACGGGCAGAGGGCATGGCTACCATGGCACTGTTGGGCCACCTGGGCTGTGGAGGTGGTGAGTGGCCCTATGGGCAGGCAGGGTGGGGACGGAGCGGAGGTGGGATGGAGGTGGGGCGGGGGAGGAGCAGGGGCAGGATGGGGGGCAGTGGCAGTTTTTGGGCACTCAGTCTCTAAAAGGTTCACCATCACTGGCCTAAATTGTTGGCTATGAATCCTCGCTATGATTTCTTGTCTTATTTATGTTTGTTTTCTTCAAGTCCCAATATTACTTTGAAAACACGACTGACCATATACCATATTGGAAATGAAAAAATAGCACAACACATCAAATTCCAATGTATTTAACTATTAACTATTTATTTAACCATGGTCAATGACCAGAACAGTAAAAAAGAAAAATTCATGAACAATGGCTGAACACAGCCAAGACAGTGTCTTAGACATATGAACAGTCATATCAAACCTAAATATTTAGACTTAGAACTACATGCCTGCACACAGACATAGAAGCACACATGCATTACTATATACCTAAAAGAGTTGCATTTTGGCATAAACTGAGAAACAAAACCCAGCATATTGTCTCTGTGCCCATCTGTTGGTCGAAAAGACAGGGTATGGCTGGCTGTTTCTAGAGCACTTCAGATTTACAAAAAAGGAAACATCTGTTAATATAGCATTGTGTTAATTTAAAATAATCCAAAGAGGCTGCTGAAAGTCTGTTTATTTAAAATGTAGAATCAGAAGATTTGGGCCACAAAAGTTCTCTCTAAATATACCGTAATAGTTAAAAATGTGCACAATCTGAATACAAATATTTAAATAGTCAAAAGCTCCCCAGCTATTATTATTATTATTATTATTATTACTTTAATTTATACCCCGCCCTTCTCCCGAGGGACTCAGGGCGGCTTACAGGTAAATAAAAACACTCGATATGTTATTTATAAATTTTCGGTTTAATTTTATATATAATTAATTGGACATAATCTTTTTAATATTTTAGGGAAATTTTAGGGATATTTTAGGGGGGGATCCGGAATCCCGCTTGATGGAAAAGCCATGTCTTGAGGGCACGGCGGAAGGAGGGGAGATCCGGAATAATCCGGATCTCTGGGGGGAGTTCGTTCTTACATCAATTATTACTTTTCATCTTATTGATGTTGCACCGATGATCAAATGGTAGCTCAGTTATCTCATATTTGGATATTGCAAGACAGGTAGTTGTTTTTTATTTACTATCTACCTCTTTCTCTTCTCTCCCATCCATATAACTAGTAGTTAATCAACTAGGTATCTCTTGATAGATAAACAGGAAAATGTCACCCTAATCAGCAGAGTCCAAAGTAGGAGATTCTCAAAGAAAATGTTCTTTGCTGAGAGAAAAAGAAATACCGTACTTGGTTGTCGAGGGCAACAAAAAAGAAGTATTCTAGTGAGACTAGTAGATAGGGTGGTTACAGAACAGTCAATATTGCCTATGAGAAAACATACCTGGAATCTCCATAGCCCTCCTATATCTTCACTTCTCTCAAAACAGGTTGGCTGAAGACCCTCATCCAAACAGCATTTAATGGCTGTAAGGCCACTTGCCCCAGCCCCAAGGATGGCTACTCTTTTGGCCATTCTGTTCTGCAACAAGGAAGAACAAGCTATTATATTCTTCTCCCACAGATTCTTACAAGTTATATAAATTTGACCAAATCAAATCAACATGCAGCAAACAACACATAACCACAGCCTGTCCAACTAATATTTGTGGTACAAATGGGCAAAATTAGTATGTTGCCAAAGTAGATTACAGTTGTACTCCCACCAGTGAAAGTCTGGAAAAATCGTGCAGGATTCTGTAGTTTATTTTTAATCAGTTCACACACTTGGAAAATTCTTCATTTTAATTTAGGAGGCAGCAGCGGCACATTTGTGTCGCTCTGTAAAAATGTAAATATAAATTCAGTCTATTTTTAAGTCAGCCTAACGTTTTGCTGCCATGTTTGTCATATCCTCAACTTAAAACCACAATTGAGAAAAGAATTCCATTGTTAAGTAAGACAGTTGTTAAGTGAGTCACACCCAATTTTACGACTTTTCACCATGATTATTAAGCAAATCACTGGTTGTTAAGTTAATAACACAGTTGTTAAGTGAATCTGGCTTCCTCCATTGACTTTCCTGTTGGAAACTGGCTGGGAAGGTCGCAAATGGTGATCACATGACCCCAGGACACTGCATCTGTCATAAATACATGCCTATTGCCAAGTGTCCGAATTTTGATCATGTGATGTGGGGATGCTGCAACATTTGTAAGTGCGAGTACCAGTTGTAAGTCCATTTTTCTAGTGCCGTTGTAACTTCGAACAGTCACTAAACGAATAACTCAAGGCTACATACATATATTGGTCTTTTCCCCTACGGTTTCTACAGTCTCCAAGCAAGCAGATGGAGCAAATCAGTTCTCTTCCTTCAGCTTCTTCTTTTAATTCAATAAGAGCCCCCTCTTAGAAAGATTCAGATAAGTTTTTCAAATTACAACTTCAAATGAAAAGGCAATAAGGAATAGCCAGAATTTTGTACTAATAGTTATTAGAAATAAAAAATACCTATGGTTTTTGGTATCCACTGTAAAAAGCAAATCCTTGGTATTTTTTCACCTAATGTATTCTGTTAGTATGAGCATAGTTTGGTTAAAAATTCCTTGCCCACATTTTCAAATTGCAACAATTGCCTTAAGAAGTAGAAAAATCTTCTCATGTACTTATCTTTCACTTATCTCAAGTGAGATGTATCAGACTGGTATTGCTTGAAATTTGATAAATAGGACCAATGTTCTGTTTTTATAAACTTTTTCCATAATAGAAAAAAAAATCCAATTCTTGTTTCTGTGATCTTTGTCTCCCCTTCATATTCTTAACCTGTTTATATGGTGCGGTTCATTTCCTCCAATTCTTTAATGAGACTTTTTGGCATAGATGGATGGGAAGGAACAGACTTAGACTCAACCCTTCCAAGACCGAGTGGCTGTGGTTGCCGGCGCCCCGGCATAGTCAGCTGGTTCCATCGCTGTCTATAGGGGGCGAATCCTTGGCCCCCTCAGAGAGGGTGCGCAATCTGGGAGTCCTCCTGGATCCACGGCTGACACTGGAAGATCATTTGTCGGCCGTGACCAGG